CGTGACTGCTCCCCACCTAATCGCAGCTGGAGCTGACCGTTCACATCCCGTACTGAGTCGCGGGCGGGCCTCGCTCTGGCTCGACGCGGGGCAAATGCGGCTTGAGCGCAGAGAGGAGCGCCCGCCTGTGAGTCAGGATGGGATGAGAACGGCTCGCTCCAACACTCACTCCGCGGGGCGGAGACGACCCGCCCACCAGACGGGGGTGGACGCGTACACAAACGTGGTGCCTGCGGAGCGCGGGTCGTGGACGTGTCATGGACGCGTCCTCGGCGGGAGGGGGCCGGCGCCAAACGAAGGAGGCGCCAGAGTCCACGATTGCAGGGTGGAGGGAGGGAGGGAGGAAGCCGCCGAGCTTGACGTACTCACCATCCCCGCGGCCTCCGCCTCCGCCCAGACCCGCCGCACCGCCCCCTCCCCCCACCGCCGCCCCGCCGCCCGCCGGCCACCGCTCCACGCGGATCGACGACAAGCGCAGCGAGAAGAGCGCGCGCGCACGCTTCTCCAGCGGCACTGCAAGCGGCCTCCTGCCGCTGCCGCTGCCGCCGCTGCCGCCGCCGCCGCCGCCGCCGCCCGGAAGCTCCGGCGTGCTCTCTCCGCCGCCGCGCCCGCCCCTGCCCTTCAGCCCGCCGCGGCCACGCAGCGAGCGCACCGGACTGCCGTCGTCGTCGGCGCCTTTTGGCAAAGTGGGGGAGGTGTCTGGGAGGTGCCTCGGAGGTCTCTCTGAGGTGCCTCGGAGGTGCCTCTGAGGTGCCTCGGAGGTGCCTCGGAGGCGTTTTGGAGGTGTCTCGGACGTGTCTGCGACGTGTCTGCGACGTGTCTCAATTGTCTCCGGTGCGTCTGCACACCCGTCGGTGCGAGTCTGCGGCCCCAGAAGGGAGGTCGAGGTGCGGCCGGCAGCTCCGAGGCTCTCCGGCTGCGCGGGGGAGGCCTGCCGCGGGAGGGGGGAGAGGGCTGCTCATTCATCCATTGTTGCTATCGCCTGATTGCACATGCCTCTTCTTCTAGTCACGATTCCGTGCCTGAAGATGTTCACCTCTCACGGCCACACGAGCATGAGCACTACTCTTCTCGCTCTGGCGTGCCGTCCGCCGAGGAGGAAGAGGCCGGAGGTGTCCGAGAGGCAGAGCGAGAAGGAGGGCCTAAGCACCAGCACCAGCCCTCCTCGACACTCTAACCCGGTTGTGTGTGTGTGTGTGTGTGCTACACGCAGAGCGATAAGGCGGACCTCGCTCGCTGCTGCTCGACGAGGGCTGAGAGCCAGGACGGGACCCGCCCGCGGCCAGCCACAGCCTGCGGGAGGGGGCAGCGTGACGGCGAGACGACGGGGAGAGGAGGGCGAGAGGAGGGGCGCGGCGGGAGGACGGGCTCTCTCGGACGTGTCGCGTCGTGTCTCGTGTCCTTCCCCCCGCCTGCAAGCCGAGGATCCCGTCGGCGCGCTGCCGCTGGAACATGCCCGTCTCCTGGGTCTGGCAGCCTACCATTCCAGTCGCTGATGCTCATCAGCCATCGGAGAAGAAAGGCGTGCCCCTCCGCTCGGTCGTGGCGGCCGAAAAAGGCGCGAACGGTGGCCGGCGAGGCGCTCTCGCCGCCCTCCCCCCCCTGGAAGTGAACGAGGTCCTGCGGCGCGGGCGCGGGCGCTGGTCACAGCCACACGGTCACAGGCACAGGTGCAGTTGCTGGTGCGGCTTGCCGAGGCCCTTCTGCAGAGAGAGACGCAGCTGCGCGGCGCTATCTGCAAAGACGACTGTGGGTGGCGGGGCGTGCTAAATACCTTCACGATCTGGCCGCGTATGGAGGAGCCCTCGGTGTAGTGGACCGCGTAGCTGCACTGCGACGACACGCACTGGTCGCACTTCACGCCCGGATGCCTCTTGCCGTCGAGAGGGCAGGTCACGGGCACCACCGTGCTCGAGGCTCGCAGGTCGAAGCGGCCAGCCTTGCCGCAGGCGTGGTCGCCGCAGGTGCGACACGAGGCGCAAGGCACCGCCGTGAGCGACGAGCCCGTGTCGATGATGAGCTCGTACCGGCGCGGCGGTGAGCCGACACAGACGTCGGTCGCATAGTAGCCGATAGTGTGCAGAGCGCCGGCGAGGATGCCGCCCGAGGCGAGGCGGCGGCCGTGGACGAGCGGGAGCGAGCCGTTTGCCAACTCCTCGCGCCGGTAGAAGAGCGGAGCCGGCTCTCCCCCGGGGAGGGAGTGGAAACGGAGCATATTGTGATGTCTCCGCCCGCTGGTGCGGCGCCTGGAGCAAACTACGCGCGGCTTTTTATTTTCTTGAGGGTAGCCTTCGATTACACTCATACATTGGATTGTCATCACCTGTGAGTGCGAGATAGGGCTAGCCGTAGGCAGCTAGCCTCTGAGGAGGGCGACCATAGACACCTCACTAGACCCCACGCACGGTCTCGTCCGTGCCCCGCCGGCCGGAGAGATTGCTTGCTGGATGGAGGTAGAGCAAGCAAGCCTGCTCTAGCCTCGCATATCACTTCCTGTTGTCTGTTGTTTGTTGTGCCCTTGTTTGTTCTCTTGGCACCTTGGAGTGCTGGGGGGGGCAACAGGGAGGATGTGGCCTTGAGTAGGGTGCCCACAGGGCCCAAAAAAAGAAAAGAAAAAAGAAATCGGCCACCCCCGATCGCAGCACTTCGTGTTGGCCAGTCGAGAAATTGAGAGTGTGACTAGGAGGGTGGGACGCTGGGGATTCTCAAAGGTATACCCTTGGAATGGCCGGATCCAGCCTTAAAAGTACGAGATCGCGCGCGCTTCGCGCACAGCACCGCCTGTTCTCCGCGGCTGTGTGACGCGCGCGTGCCGTGTACCAGCAGGGTTGGGCGCGCGCGGCGCGACGGCGCCCGCGAGGGAAGGCGCGGGTGCAGCGGCCGCCGGCGGCCGTACCGCCCGCCAGCCGGCGCAGCAGCGGCCAGCGCAGCGGCCGCCGGCGCAGCAGCCAGAGCAGCCGGTGCGCGCCTTGCGAGGCGAGTACTGCCGTCCGGCAGCCTTGAGGCGGCCGGGCGGCAGTACTCGTTCGAACTTTGCGAGCCGTGCGCGCGCCGAGGCGCCCGCGGCGCGCGCCCGCCCGGCTGCCAGTAGGAGGCGGCGCAATATGGCCTATAGTACAGCCCTTGAGGAGGAGGAAGAGGCTGGCTGGCAGTGCTGTATGCCGCCGTGGGCAGTTTTGGGGTGCTGTCCCCATCCCAGGGGGCTGCAGAACGCGTCCGCAGCCGGGACAACCCGCCCCCCCAGCCGAGGCCGGTCGAAGCCCACTTGAGTGCAGCCATGAGGAGTCCTCTTGGTGCTCCTGGCGGCCGTTGGAATGGCGAGCGCGCGCCGATGGGGGGGGGGGGGGTCTTGCTTGCTCCACACCGAGCGCCATCGGTCCGGACCGGTGCACTCACCGAGGGGTGGCTTGCACAAGGTCTGAGCCGCGGGCGCTCGGCGCCAAGTGCAGTGTCACGCTCGCGCTGGAGCGGGACACAATGGGAAACCCTCGTTTCCTAGTCACTCGGTCCCCCAACGGAAGAGGCCTCTCTCCTATTGGAACTGGCCAACATCAGATTTGCCGCGTGCGTCCCTTTTTTAGCCGGAAAGCTATTTTCTTTTGGGTCCTGTGGGCACCCTACCTTGAGTTATGTGTGATACGCCTACTCAGGGTGTGTGGCAGCCCGCTGGCTGTGTGTCTTGTGAGCCTGTTTGTGTCTGTGTGTCGCTCGTGCGTGTCGTCATCATCTGTCTGGCGTCCACCCATACGCCATACCGCGTTGGTGTCCAGTCCGAGCCTGGCTGTTCTTCACCTTTCTACCTAACTACCTACTTCGATGAGAGAGATTTTTAGCAATAGTTTGTTTGTCGATGAGAGAGAGTGTTATGAAACAAACGCAAGGCGGACATGGCATATCGCTCTCGCTCGGGCCCACAGACATCCCGCACACTCGCCGCACACCCGCCGCCCCCGCGCGCGCCCCGCCCCGGCTTTTTTCTTTTTCTTTAATCCCGCAATTTAAGTTATCCAAACTTCCCTCAGGGCCCCGCTGGCACGCCGCCCTGGGGGGGCCGGTTCCAGCCGGAGCGAAAGAAAACAAGTAAAAAAAAGAAAACAAGTTTCTTCCCGCTATGCGCTCCTTTGGTTGCGTCCTTCCCCACTGTTGCTCTGGGAAAGCTCGCGCGCGAGCGCGCCCCACCCTCTGCCACCCTCCGTTCCTCTCATGCTCGGTTTCGACGACTCCTCTCACCTTCTCATCGAACACGGGACAAGCAACCGTCAATGTCACTCCCTGAGGCGTGGCACCACATCGGCGTGGCTTCTTGGCCTCGCCGCCGTCTTCTCGCTCGCAGTCATGGCTGTGCAATCAGGCGGCTCTGTCTCGCGGGGTGTCGACCTAGAGCTGTTGAGATTTGCGGAAGAGAGGCGGAGCCGAGCTGCTCGCTGGCAAGATGCGATCCAGGACTCAGCGATCGAGGATCCAAACAAGCCGGTCCGGCCGGGCGACACGTCGTGTGTCGACCACACCGACGGCCGCGTCTACTCCTTTGCGCCTGCGGTGATGCCCTTCTCCTGCCCGCCGTGCGGCGATCAGAATCACGAGCCGGTGCTGTGGCCTGGCGGCGCGATCCCGCCCACCCTCCTCGACCATTCCCGTGAGAGCCGCTCATACCTAGAGCGCCCTGTCCGGCCACAGGCGTCGTGCCTTACGAGATCGAGGACGTGCCGGGGGCGCCGCACGTCCGCGTCGGTGACGAGCTCAACAGCACATACGGCGGCATCCAGAACAGCGCCCTCAACGCCATGTTCTACATCGAGCAGGTGAGCAGCGTTCGCTTTGTGCGGCGCAACAGCGAGCCGAACTTTGTGCGTTTCGTGCGCGACTCGTCGCCATGCGACGGAAGCAGCAACTTTGGCGTGTGCGGGGGCATGCAGGAGATCCACATCCCGCACATCGGCTGCTACCAGGTTGACACTCGGCGCACGTTTGCCGGGACACCTATCCTTCTAGCCAGCCTCGACCCGGAGCCCCTCGCAGGCTATGTACGGCGGGCAGCCCACCGAGCAGCGGCTGCCCGGCGGCGCGCACCCGGTCCGCTCCAAAGCGAATGTGCTTCAGAAGGCCGTCTTCACCACTCCCGTCGGCGCGTGGCGGCGATCGAGGCGGCGCACCGCTGTTGCGGAAGCCCTGCCACTGTGACGCTGCTCTGGACCTCCTGTTCCGTAGGCATGGCGACGCACGAGACGATGCACGCGCTCGGCCTATTCCACACGCAAGCCTACCCGAACCGCGACGCGTTTGTCCAGATCCACTGGGACAACATCAAGGGCATGACCCCGTCGGGCGTCGTGGGCACGGAGCAGTACGAGATGATCCCTTTTGACACCTTCAAGGACCCAAAGCAGGCGGAGGTCGCGGCGATGCCGTTTGATTTCGAGAGCGTGCTGATCTACATGGACACGGCCTGCGCCAAGTCCTGCCCGGAGAGTACCTGAGACTATCCGAAATTACCCTAGATTACCCGAGATTAGGCGTATGCCATCAACTCGTCCCTCCCGACCATGACGCGGCCCGACGGCAGCCCGCTGCCCCGAGGGACCGGGCAGCGGGTCCGCATGAGCGAGTCGGACATCTCAAAGATCAACACCCTCTACCCGGAAAGGAGGCCGCCGGCCGGCGTCAAGACCGCTGCGGGCGACGTCGACGCCCCGCTCTAGCGCGAGATCGATCTCACAGCGCTCCAGCGGCTCCGCCCGGGCCCCCGCGCCCCCCGGCGCCCAGGCCCCCGTTCGACGACCTACATCCGATGGAAAGGGACCCGAACAGCTCCTCCGAGTGTGATGGCTTCGTAGGACGTAGCCCGAAAGGGAGAACCTTGCTGTGTGCCTCGAGGCCGTGACGTTTACTCCGCTCCTTTTTGCAAAATCTCTCACGTCAAGGGGACCGCGATTCCACGACGTCACGCTTTGTCTCGCTCTTGGCCATTCTCCGCCGCCGGGGCCTCTAGCGGGCTGGGCGCCTTTCCTCGTCGCAGCAGCGCCGCCTCCTCGTCGCTGCGCTCGCAGCCCGTACAACGGCCACAGACGCGCGAAAGCGACCCCCACGCCGATAGGCACGCCTACTCACAGCATGGGGCGTGAACGGCGCCTGATCGCAGCGGCGTCTTCTTTGGTGGCGAACGTTGCGTCGATCGGCGTGGCATGCGGCCCGCTGGAGAAGAACGCCTAGACATCCACAAGAAGAATGAAGTCGTTCACTCGTACTGCTGAGGCCTGCGGGCGGCAGACTGCCATGGCGGTGAGGACGAGGAAGATGCCGAGCAGGTAGGTCGAGGTGAGCTGCAGACCAAAGAGCACGTGCGACCCCAACGCGCCGAGGATGACAGACACCTGCTCTTTGACGGAGCGCCGTGTGCGAACGGACCACAGGCCCACGCGCCGAGGGTGACGCACACCGTGAGCGAGAAGTTGCGGAGGATGTTGTCGGCCACCTTGATAGCCAGACCCGAGATGAGCCGAGGCGGGCCGGGATGAGCCGAGATGTGAGCCGAGATATGAGCCGAGATGAGCCGAGATGAGCCGAGATGACCCAAACTGCGCCGGCCTTTTACCTTGATGGTGACGGCGACGACGATGCCGCCCGCCGACTGCATGAGCACCTATGCACGCCGCCTGCGAATAAGAGACGCTGTCCACACGTCTTCGCCGCCCGCCGAGTACGTGAGCACCACGGCCCACGTCATCGCGGTGAAGCCGTGCAGCAGCCGCCGCCTCCTCCCAAGCAGCTCGCCCGAGGCGAACAGCGCGGCGAGGGCGATCAGCGCCGAGAAGAGGGCGAGCTGTATGTTCCTGCAGCAGGGCGCCTCGACGTTTCTCAGAGGGCTCCGTGAAGCGCCGGCGGGAGGGCGGGCTGTCCACTCCTCAGCCAGAGCGACGGGGAGCGGCAAAATTCGCTCATCTTGAAGTAGACCGACGCGAAGGCGGAGCACGCTGCCGCGCCAAGCATCGCGCCCAGACCAAGCGCCGCGCTTGCGCCGCCATCGCCGCCGCCGCCGCCGCCGCTGCCGCCGCCGCCACCGCCGCCGCCGCCGCCGCCGCCGCTGCCATTCCCGCTGCCGCCACGGGCGTGGCCATGGCCTCCGCCGCTGCGGCCGCCGCCGCCGCTCGGCGCTGCGTCAAAGGCTCCCTGCACGCACAGCACGCCGAGCACGAGGAGGAGCATCGACAGCCACTGCGCCGAGCCGAGCCGCGTGCCGAGCAGCGTGCGTGCGAAGAGGGCCGTGAAGAGGATCTTGGTCTGGTAGGCGAGCTGCTGCGCCGAGGCGTCGAGGTTGGCCGCCCCCACAAAGAGCAAGAAGTTTTGCGCCGTGTACATAAGGGCAGGCACGCCGAGCCGCATCCACTCGGCGCGCCGCTCGACGAGGTCGCCCCGCAGCGAGCGGGCCATGCCTGCGGTGGACAGACGGCGTTACGCATGCTCACGGTGGCGCGGTGTCAGCATCAGGAGTGTGCCACACACAGGCACGGTGGCGCGGTGTCAGCAATATCAGGCGTGTGGCAGGCGTGGTGGCGCGTGAGCATGAGGCACAAATCGGCCTGGGAGGCCGCCGCACTCGACCGCGTAGGCAGCCGTGGAGATGGCCAGCTTGATGCCCTCAGCCACGAGAACGGCAACCTGAGGAGCGCAGCCGTGGCACCGTGTTTGGTGCGAGCGAGTGCCGAGTCCGACGGGCTGTTTTGTACGGACCATGTCTGAGTAGTCGGCATGCTCGAGCTTGGAGTAGCGCATCAGGAGGAAGGAGCCGGCGTTTTGGGCGGCACAGAGGCCGAGCGCGGCAGCTGCGGGCCACCGCATATATGCGTGGAGTGTCGCCTAGGCAAAAAGCTGGCGGCGGCGTGTCTGGCGAGGGGGCGGCGGCGGTGGCTGCGGAAGCGAGCGGCGCGAGCGGCGGCCGAAACAGACATATATATATATCGCCCCCGGGGCCAGAAAAAGAATTTTCCGGCCACCGCGTTTTCTTTCTATTCGTTTTAAATCCCTGTGTGGTGGCGGCGTGCCGTTCTCCCATCCCTCCCTTGGGTTGTCTGTTTTCTTTCTTTCTTTCTTCGTTTTAACACTTTAAGGTGGCAGTCCGGGTTCTGTGAAGAGGGTCGCTCGTCGAATGCGAGCCAGTTCGCTCGCGACGCCGACGCCGACGCCGCCGCCGGAACGACCGCGGCGGCCGGTCGAGCGGCCGCCCCGGCCAGCGGCCGTATCGAGCCTGCCCGTCGCGAAGGTGCGGACCTCACGCGCCCCACCGGCCGCCCGCGCCGCCGCGCCCACGTCGCTCTCTCGAAGCCCAGCGCCACGCCGCTACGACTCCCATCGCGACGACTCCCGTGCTCGCTCGTGGCGCAGGCGATCGACTCCTGACACCCATCGAGCGGATAAGCGCGTTCCCGCCGCGACCCGGTACTCTCGAACGACTTTTGAGGGCAAAAGGTGCCGCCCGAGCCCATTCCCGCCGCCCGCCGCCCGAGATCAGCTGCCACCGGCCAGCGCGCGCGCGGAGACCTGCCGCGAGCGCCTCCGTGGCCCTAGCTGGGGTGATTAGCAAGCGCCTCGGCACTTTAGATTCGCCCCTCGGGCTTTTCCGCGCGCGTGATCAGTCTCGCGTTCTCTCCTTTTTCAGGCGCCTGTTTTCGGCCTCTGAAGAGCAACCGTCGAGGCGTCGATGCTCGCCTCCACGCCCGCGCCAGACCTCCGCGATTGGGGCGCCTTGTCGACGGGATCAATTGTGATTCCGGGCGTATTTTTCTGACACTTTACTCGCACGTCGGCGACTCTTAGTCGCTTCTCTGTGCTAGGAGGCCTCTGTTTTGTGTTTGTGAGGACTAGATCGAAACTAACATTTCGGCATATGCGAGTAAAGTATCAGAAAAATGCGCGTTCGTTCACAATTCATGTGTATATGAACGGTGCCGACGGGTTTGGCGAGCATCGAAGCCGTCCAGGCGCAGCAACGCGACGGTTTCGGAGGCCGACGACTCCGAACCAAGAGCCTCCCGAGCGAGGCCGGCGCGGTCACGGTACCGTGGAGGCCACAGACGTCGCCGGAGCGGCACTCCCGGGGCGCCACTCCCTCACCCGGTCAGGGGGGGCCAACCACAGCCCGCCTCACCGTCCGTGGAGCTTCCGTGGTCCGCCGCTTCGGCTTCGATTTTCGACCCTCCCGAGGCTGCTAGAGCAGCCCCGCGGAGCCTCCCGGATGCACCAGCACACCGTCGTCCAGAACGCCGGCGCACGCGCTGCCCAGTGACTGGGCGGGTCTGCCCCGACTAGGGGCGGGCCCAGCCGCGCGGAGAAGACCATCCCACTTGCGGTTCGTCGCACCGTCCGCTCCAGTTTTCGTCTCGAGCGGGTCGTGAGACGGCCGCGAGAGCGAGCACCGCGGTCACGGTACCTTGGAGGCCACAGACGTCGCCGGAGCGGCACTCCCGGGGCGCCACTCCCTCACCCGGTCAGGGGGGGCCAACCACAGCCCGCCTCACCGTCCGTGGAGCTTCCGTGGTCCGCCGCTCCGGCTTCGATTTTCGACCCTCCCGAGGCTGCTAGAGCAGCCCCGCGGAGCCTCCCGGATGCATCGGCACACCGTCGTCCAGAACGCCGGCGCACGCGCTGCCCAGTGACTGGGCGGGTCGGCCCCGACTAGGGGCGGGCCCAGCCGCGCGGAGAAGGCCAGCGAGCTCGAAACACGTCGCCGCGGCCGGCCGTTTCGCAAGCCTGAGCGGGTCGCCAGACACCCGCGAGAGCCAGCAGCTAGAGCGCCGTCGTAGCCGCAGATCGAGTCGAGGAGCTTGATGTCCACGGTAGCAGTTGTGGAGAGCGGTGGCACGGTGCGTGTAGACGCGTCGATTGAGGGCTCCCTTTCAAAACGCGACGGGTACGGCTTGACAACTGCCAGCACAGTTTTACGCCGGCCAGCGTGAGACAGGTGTGCGACTACGCGCTCGTCTACGCGGAGAAGAAGAACGACGGCGACGCGCCGTACTCGGTCTCCTTCACCGCGACGCAGAGCGGCGACGTCATTGTGCAGCTCCACCCGCACTCACAGCTCGAGCGCGCGGTCCGCCATGAGCGGCAGGCGCAGGCCACGGAGCCGCCCGCGAGCGCGAGCCCTGCGGCGCCGCCAGCCCCTGCCGCCGAGCCGCCAGCTGCGGAGCCGGCGACCAACATGACGTACGCCGCCGCAGCCGCATTGCACCCGCAGGGTGCCACCGCGGGAGGGGCCAGCCCGCCGCGCCTGCGGGCCCGGCCGCCGCCGCGCGCGTGCCGCCGCCGCCCAGCGGCGGCGGAGTGCGTGGCTGCACTTTCACTGTCCCTAATCCGGGAAGGAAGCGCGGGCAGCAGCAGCGCGGCAAGGGCCGCAGTGCCAGCGGCCGCGCCAGTGCTGGACCCCGGCTCGTCGACAAGAACGCGCTGTCCGCTGTCGGCGCGCGGCGGCGGGCCCTCGCGCCAGTCGCGCTCTCCCTCACCGGACTCGCCGCCCGCCAAGCGGGCGTCCTCCGCCGACTGAGCCGAAAATTTATTTTTACACTGAGCCATATCCCCCCCTACTTAGAGCTGCCAGGAATAGCGTCATGCTCATGGGGCCGTAGGGTCAAAAATGAGAGACGACATCGATCATCGTGTCCATCACGACACTTTTCACCGTTGGTCTTCGGCTCTTCGCGTCTCACCCTGACGCGAGCGTCTCGAAACCTCCGCTAAGAAGCGGGACACGGTGGCAGCGGGCACGGGCCAGGCCGCAACGCAACACGGGAGGGGGCGACACACGAGGGGCACGGGCCAGGCCGCAACGCAACACGGGAGGGGGCGACACACGAGGGGCGACGGCAGCGGAGCAACGCAACACGGGAGGGGGCGACGGCAGCGGAGCGAACGAAAGCGTGGGTGGCAATCATGTTGTCACCTGACGGATGCGGTGGTTGGAGAAATCCGCCACGTAGACGGTCATGCCGTCGGGCGACACCGCCACGCCGTTCGGGTAGTTGAAGCTCGCGGCGGTGCCCGTGCCGTCGGCGGAGCCCGACGTGTCAGAGCCGGCGAGCGTGGTGGTGGCGCCGCCGGAGGTGTCGATCTTGCGGATGCGGTTATTGTAGGTATCCGCCACGTAGACGGTCCCACCGTCGGGCGACACCGCCACGCCGAACGGCTGGTTGAAGCTCGCGGCGGTGCCCGTGCCGTCGGCGGAGCCGGACGTCGAGCCGGCGAGTGTGGTGGTGGCGCCGTCGGAGGTGTCGATCTTGCGGATGCGGTTGTTGAAGTAATCCGCCACGTAGACGGTCCCGCCGTCGGACGACACCGCCACGCTGGCCGGGCCCTCGAAGCTCGCGGCGGTGCCCGTGCCGTCGGCGGAGCCGGACGTCGAGCCTGCGAGCGTGGTGGTTTCGCCGTCGGAGGTGTCGATCTTGCGGATGCGGTGGTTCTCGGGATCCGCCACGTAGAGCGTCCCGCCGTCGGGCGACACCGCCACGCCGTACGGCTCCTTGAAGCTCGCGGCGGTGCCCGTGCCGTCGGCGAAGCCGGACGTCGAGCCTGCGAGCGTGGTGGTTTCGCCGCCGGAGGTGTCGATCTTGCGGATGCGGTAGTTCCAGTAATCCGCCACGTAGACGGTCCCACCGTCGGGCGACACCGCCACGCCGAACGGCTGGTTGAAGCTCGCGGCGGTGCCCGTGCCGTCGGCGGAGCCGGACGTCGAGCCGGCGAGTGTGGTGGTTTCGCCGTCGGAGGTGTCGATCTTGCGGATGCGGTTGTTGAAGAAATCCGCCACGTAGACGGTCCCGCCGTCGGACGACACCGCCACGCTGGCCGGGCCGTTGAAGCTCGCGGCGGTGCCCGTGCCGTCGGCGGAGCCAACCGTCACAGAGCCTGCGAGCGTGGTGACTATGCCGGCCGGAGCGGAGGGGGTGGATGGCGGCGGCGGCGAGGGCGAGGCGGACGGAGGCGGCGGCGAGGGCGGCGGCGGCGAGGGCGGCGGCGGC